TTTTTTTTTTTTTTTTTTTTTGCCCTCTTCAATTAGAGTTTTTCTAAATAACTTGGGTGGATAGTATGGGGTTTACAAATATTGACATTTAGGGCAACAATTGGAGACAAATAGATAATCGGAATGACAGATGCAATTCTTGTTTTACCTCACTGTAAGTTTCTTATCTTAACTGAGTGAGCCTGTGGAAATTAGACTTCAAATAAGTTGCTGATTGGATTAAAAGGACTAGTTCAATTCTGAATGAGCTATATAGTCTTTGGTTTGTTCAGTATATGTTTATCAAAATGTGAGATTTAATGTCTGACTAATGGTTGTATTTCAATTATCTATTTCATTGCTGGAGTTTTCCTCTTTATGCTGCAGTTCGTTGCACTTTCCTCTCTTTTACAGTTTACTTCTCCCCTTAGGCGTAGCAGCTCCAATTTCTTCAATCACATACTTATCGCCAAAAGCTTCTGCTTCGGAGAATATAATTGATTTTCTTTTTTCTTGACAGGCAAACACAACCTAAAACTGCTATCTCCATAAACACCTGCAGCCCAAGGGATCGGTTCGTCATGCCGTCAATGGCTTCCAGTAGCTCCACCCACACTGACAAAATTAACCAGCCCAACGGGCTAGATGCTGATTTTGTTGTCAGGTTTCTCCACCAGCATGCCAGTGAATTTTTGTTTCAATGCAACTTTTTTTGTCAAATGAACATGTGTTTTAACTTGAATTATTTAGGAGACAGCAGATTGAACAGCACAGGAAAGCACTTCCGATTGCTGAAGGTACTTGTTTTTAATGTATTTGCTTACTCATTTTTCTTGTCGTTTTTATTCTTTTTTTTCTTTATTTTATTCTGGCTAGTGTATTTTCATTTCCTTATCTGGTGTTAAGGTGGGTTCAGAGTTTGCTTTTAACAGGAGTTCAAACTAGGTAGAGATTTTGGGATTTACTTTTTTCATTATCGAGTTTGTAACTTAGTTACATTTTAACTTCCGTGCATTATTAGTAAATTAAAGCTTTGTGCTTTTGTCTGAACAAAATTACAATTATCTGCAAGGTGACAGTTAACATACATAATACTATAACAGCGTATCAAGGTGATTTTGGGGCACTTGATTGACTTTGCTTATGCAGAAAATCATAAATTTAAGTTGGCAGGAGTATTTAGTTCATAATATTTCGTAAGTGTTCTCCATTATCAGAATTTGATTTCTTCTTCCCCGATAGTGGATAGATGTTTTAAATTTTGATTGACTTGCATTGAGAAAATAATTCTGCAACTTTTTCATCTAGTGAGGAAGATAGGGAGGAAGATGGAGAGTGATCGGTAATATTTTATACAAGCTTTGATTTTATTCTTGCCCTTATGATAACAGACTTATAGTCGAGTATTGTCTTAGAGGACTGCTTAACTTATTTTTCTAATCCATGAAATATTCCCTGCATGTGTCTACTTCATTTCACTGTATATATGTCATTGGTCTTAAACTATGTGATTGCAGAATTTTCAGGTAATTTCATATGTTGTATACTTGCATACCAATTAATTTCAGTTAATTTCATATGTCATCATTGTTTCTTGCATTTGGCCTCTTTCAAAATCCTCAACTGAGTTTAGAGTCTGAATTTCAAAATTGATCAACTTTTACGTTTGGGATGTGTAACAAAGATCTTATCAGTTTATCATGGCATCTTCGTACGCTTTGAGAGCTTATTCCATTTTTTAATGTTTTAATTTCTGAACCCCATTCGAATTATATTATGCAGTCCAAAAGAGACTCTTGGAGGAGGTTAGTAAAAATGACGTACTAATTATTGTTGGTGAAACTGGCAGTGGGAAGACAACTCGTAAGTATCATTTGATTGTTGAGTTCTTGCTGGATAATGCTTAAATAGTGTGGCATTTTTGCTTGATGGTTCCTTATGAGTTTCTCTCCATTTACATATTAATTCCTGGCGTTGTTGTTCTATTTAATCTCTATGAATTAATTATGACTTCCTTGCAGAGTTACCACAGTACCTATGTGATGGTGGGTTTTGCCGCAATGGTGGAATCATTGGGGTGACTCAACCAAGACGTGTGGCTGCTGTAACCGTTGCAAAAAGGGTTGCTGAGGAATGTGGAGTCACATTAGGACAAAAAGTCGGTTATGCCATAAGATTTGAGGATGTAACTTCCGGCTCTACAAGGATCAAATACATGACGGATGGCTTGTTATTGAGGTAAATAGAAACATTCTTGTTTTCTATTGGCACTATTAGCAAATTTACTTTTGACGGATAATTACAGAACTCCATTTTATCATAAAATTATACATATTTAGACTACATGATGGATATTTTTGAAATAACTGCAAATAAAAAATTAGGTAATGGTCTCTTTTATGATATTGAGCTCCTGGAACAAAAATTCTTCTAGGAACTGACTGATGAATCTTGAATTTCAATTACAGGGAAGCATTATTGGATCCTTACCTTTCCAAATATTCAGTTATTATTCTGGACGAGGCTCATGAGAGAACTGTTCAGACTGATGTATTACTTGGCCTGTTGAAGACCGTACAAAGGACAAGGTCTTCAGGTGCCAGTGACATGGCACATAATGATCACATAAAAGGTGAGAATGGTGTACCATTGGAGAAGGAGTATATTCAAAGTACAATTTGTCTGAAGCACAACCGAGGGAAAAAGTTGTACCCATTAAAGTTAATTATCATGTCAGCCAGTCTGGATGCACAGATTTTTTCCAAGTATTTCGGTGGTGCAAGGGCTGTTCATGTTCAGGGACGACAGTATTCTGTTGATGTACTGTACACTCGTCAACCAGAGACCGATTACTTAGATGCAGCCTTGATTACTATATTTCAGGTTAAATACGACCTCTCTTCTTTGATAATTATATATGTTTAAGTACGACCTCTCTCCTCTTTGATATTGATAAAAAAATTTGCTGCCTGAATAAATCTTATAAATGTTTTATCTGAATTTTTTTTGACTTAGTTTGGATTGTTGTGGGTGAAGACAAGCATGCAATAGACCAAGTGCCTCTACATCTCCTTGCATTTCTCCCAATATTATTTCCTTGCAGTTTTATTTTTCCTTGCAATACTAATGTATGACATTGTTTCTCCACTGCTGGTTTTATTGAAACTTTTAGCGTTTGATGTTCCCCTCCACCCCCCACCCCCACCCTGAAGAAAGTGAATGGTCTCTGATGTGAGAATTAGCCCACATTGTTATTTTTTTATTTTCAGTATATAATATCATTTCATAAGGTGGCTGAGGAGAAAGCATTATAGTGCACCTTTCCTGCTATAAAAATGTCCTGGTTCTTGTTCAGTGGAAATAATTTTGTGAATGCCGAAATTCTCAGTCAAGTGAATTTTGATATAATTCTACTTGTTTGTGTTAAAGTTTTCTGATTGGGCCTTATTGGTGGAACTTTACATCACAATATTTATCTCTTGTTGTATTTGACCTGCTAGATACATCTGGAGGAAGGGCCAGGTGATATACTTGTGTTCTTGACTGGTCAAGAAGAAATAGAATCTATAGAGAGGCTCGTCCAAGAGCGCCTTCCAAAGTTAACTGAAAGTAAACGCAATCTGTCAGTTGTATCGATTTTCGCATCTCTTCCATCAGAGAAGCAAATGAAAGTTTTCTTGCCTGCCCCTGCTGGGTTTCGTAAGGTTGATATTTTTTCCTTAATATCTGTTTCGGTATATATAATATATTGAACTGGACAACTATATATTGTTCGCTCATATTGTGATGTATGCTATTGTAAGATTTTGCTTCTGTCTGGTGATTAGGTAATATTAGCAACAAATATTGCTGAAACATCGGTGACCATACCTGGAATCAAGTATGTAATTGACCCAGGAATGGTCAAAGTGCGCACATATGATCCTTCTACAGGGATTGAGCCGTTGATCATTGTTAAAACATCAAAAGCACAAGCACTTCAGCGGAGGTAGATCGCTTGAAATGATTGCTCATAATCTTTACTGCACAGTTTATATGGTTGTCAAGTACATTACTCTTTCTTTTCATTGTGTATAACTTAGCATCCTCTGGGGGGGGTAAATAAGATTGTATTAAATGCAACACCATGTAATGAAGGGGTTTTACATGAAAAGGCCAAAGAGCAAGACCACAAAATATAATTATATGCACTGACAAGCTGTTAAAATTCAATTCAGTGGGCGTGCTGGACGTGAGGGACCTGGGAAATGCTACCGTCTTTATCCTGAGAATGAATTTTATAAGCTCAAGGATTCCACAACACCTGAAATAAAGAGATGTAATCTTTCGAAGGTTATCCTACAACTTAAAGCTTTAGGCATTGATGATATTGTTGGGTTTGACTTCATTGAAGAACCAGACAGGTGATCATTAATTCAGAAAACCAAAATAACAGACAATATGCTATGAGAATATTGTTTGTTCCCGGTGTGCTTTATTCTTTTTTCTTTTATTCATGCAGGATGTCCATTATGAAGTCAATGGAGGAGTTGTTTTTGTTAGGTGCTCTTACGGATGATAGTAAATTATCCGATCCAGTTGGTAATCAAATGGTCAGGCTTCCATTAGACCCTATTTATTCGAAGGCTCTCGTTGTTGCCAACCAATTTATTTGCTTGGAGGAAATGTTAATAGTTGTGGCAATGCTGTCGGTTGAGTCTATCTTTTATGCTCCTCGTGAAAAATTGGAAGAGGTATTGCATTCTCCTCTTGCCTCATTTATCTCTGCTCAATAAATTAATGTTTTATCCTTGAAAATGACAATAGTAGTGGTCTGCTAAACATGAAATTAGATGACTTCATGTCCCCTCTCTCTCTCTCTCTTTATATATATATATATATATATATATATATATATATATTCCACACACACACACACACACATATATATATATAGAGAGAGAGAGAAAGGATCATATGAATATGAGAATGGTAGATAGTGAAAGAAATAAGAATAAATATGTACTGTTGGATCGAACATATGAAAGAAAATATGAAAGAAAGGTCATGATCAAGTCAAAATTTAAATATGACAGTCAAACATACAATGTTAATTCTGTAAATAAGTATATATTTCGTAGTCAAATGTACACAGTTGACCATTAATTAAGGACATTATAGGCATTACACAATTATTCACATATGCAGTGGTCCCCACACACACCAATCTCGGTTACCCCCCCCCCCCCNTTTCTTTCTCTCTCGCATCTGTCTCTTCCTCTCTCGCACCGCGCACCAAACCTCACTGTGGCGTTGCTGGTGGAGATAGCAGAACAACTACGGCCACTGTCGACCTCACCTCGCCTCGGCGTCACGACCTCCGTCGTGTGCGGAGAACAGGCGGCGCATCACCGCCCTAGTCGTGGTCTTCGCCGACGATCTCTTGTCTGCTCCAACTTCGCCGACGGTCTCTTCGTCTGCTCCAACTTCACCACCCTCGCTGTCTCAAACGACCACGTCCTCTCCGACCTTCTCCTTGATTTCCTCCTCGGCGCCTCATCCCCTCTGACCTCCGCCGCCTCCATTCACCAGAAAACTGGTCTTCAACAACTCTAAATGAGTTGACGTCTTCAGCGAAACTGACAGCGTAGAGGATCAGCGCCGGAGAATGAATCATCGGCAACGACCGACAAAACTAAGAATACAATTTCTGAATCTGCTGAGGAAAGTAGACGAACAATTTCAGAATCTTAAACTTATTTTGGGGGGTTTCTTTTGGAAATTAGATGACCATTGGGGACTTGACAAAATCTGAGTATTGAGATTCACTTGAAGGAAGAGAGGCTCAGGTCTCGGTTTTGGGAATTGGGACTTCTGGAAATTTGGGGTCTGACTTCTGTAAATTAGACAAGAATATATAGATATTCTTGCGCAGGGGAATTGTATGTGACCATATGCTAGTGTCGGATGGTTCCCATTATTTTAACATAATTTTGGTCACATATGGTCAAAGCCAATAGCCATTTTTCAGCCTCTAAAATAATTTTCGAGTATGAAAATAGAAAAATTTAATCGGTAAAATTTGTAATTTATTACAATTTCAAGACTGAACAACATTTAATAAATAACTACACAATATTTTGTGTATATACGCACATTAAAAACTAATGTATATGTATACGAACTTATTAAAAAAGTAACAAAATACGCAATTTGAATAAGCGAATTGCGCAATATTGCGTGTAAATATGTGCTTTAAAAGTTAAAAACATATAATCAATCAGAGATAAAAAATTTAAACCAAAAAATTTCAGATGTTATTGTGCAATACATTAGTCACTAATGTGCAATATATTAGTCGTTAACGTGCAATCTGCTTAACACTATTGTGCACTAGCGGCGCATTAACCTTCTTATCTTGTCTCAAAACCAAACTAAAATCGAACGAACTATTTTGGTTTATTTGATCGGTTAACCGAATTAACATAATTAATTGAAACAAATTTAATCCATATTATAAAAATATTTGGAATTTTAAATATTTATTTATTTTTTTATATATTTATTTTTTGTTGTAAGACCTAAAATATAAAAATAATAAATAATATATTTTTCTTTTATATTTCGATCGGTTTGTTTGCTTTAAAAAGAAAATAAAATTACCGTTAAACCGAACTAACCATAAAATATAAATAATAATTTAGAAGTATAAACAAATAAGCGAACCAAAATATGATATTCGGAACCAAAAAATGTAGTCGGTCATTTTTGGTCGCTATAGTGCAACTTGATAGTCACTATGGTGCGATCCATCTAACACAAATGTGCATTCGAATTGCAGTTATTTTTTTTATTGGTTTGTCTCAACCTAAATCAGTACCAAAATAATTGATTTATTCGTTTGGTTAATCAAATTAAACTAAATAAATAAAACAATTTATAATTTATATCGTAAAAATATATTTAGTATTTTAATATTTTTATTAATTTATATTATTTTTGGTTGAAACTTCATAATATATATAATAAAATAATATATTTTTATATAATGCAGTCGATTGGTTATTTATAAAATAAATAAAGCCATCGATTTTATAAGTAAAAAACAATACCATTGGATGTGATATATCAACGCTACAAGCATAATCAAAGGGTCAAACTTTAGTTAAATGCGCGGTAAATAAGTGGACTTTTAATTTTTCATGCAAGGGGTATTTTAGTCCTTGCGGAATGCACTGTTGCGCTAAGGTGCAATATAACGATCACTAATGTGCAATGTGTCTATCAATAAGAGAGTATTTTTATTTGAAATTTCAAATATGATAATGTGCAACGCATTGAACATTAAAGTGCGACTATCGGCTTTTATTAATTTTACAAATTTAACACATAAACTAAATTGTATAGTTATTAAAATTTAATTTGTAAATAAGTCCTCTAAACTTATAAAATTTACAAAAAATGGCCCAAAATCTGTAATTTATGAACTTCTCCCAATCTTTAATTTCAACGGCTGCTTGTTTCCATTTTACGGCCTCGACGGACAGAGCCGACAACGGGAAGGGCGTACGGCGCCGGAATCGGTACGGACGGAGACAACGGCGAGGAGGACGGAGATGGTAGCCTCTTGAGCATTTTATCAAACACATCATATTGAAAGTACTTGAGGTCACCAACAAAACTCGATACTTGCGCCAAATCTGTCTACTTGTTCATTTAATGATTAAGGATACTTTCAACAAAATTCACACCCACCATCTTTTATATTAATTTTAACATCACCGAAGATGACGACTAGATAAGTGATGAGATGATCGGTCGGCTGGAAAATCTCATGTCAGATTCGATGGTTGATGTCCTGTGCTTGGATGCGGTGCGGGTGCGGAACCTGCAGGACGATGCAGGACGATTCGGGACGATTGGGCGTTGGTCGAGCTCGGAGGTTAAACTCGCATGTCAGATTCCAAGGTCGATGAACGGTGCTCGGAAGTCGAACCCACAGGCGATTGGGCATTGGTCGAGTTCGAAGGTTAAACCTGCAGGTCCACATTGAAGGTTAAACCCGCAAGTCGATCCGGCTTGTTTAGCGGTGGTGGAAGCGGTTAGCAGCGGCGGTGGCGACAATCTCAAGAGTACGGGCAATGGAGAGAAAATGAAAGAGAAATGGGGATATGTTGGTGGGGATGGACCCGCAGGTGGGAATGATATGTGGCTGGGTTAGAATAAGGTATAAAGTCCAATATGCCCTTAATAAGTGTACAATTTTAGATTGTTTCTAGGCGTTGGATTTTTAAATTGTATGGCTAGGATGTATTCTTATTTCTTTCACTAAGCACCATTCTCACTTGAACCCAACCATATATATATATATATATATATATATATATATATATATATATATATATATGTATGTATACTAGAATGGTATCCGCGCGTTGCGCGTCTTGATGTTAAAAATAACGTAGATGAAAATATTATTTTTTATATTTTGAATTATTTTCTTAAATATAATATTAGTAGTGGATGAATTATATTCATTATCATCATCATAAATAACAATTTTTATCATTTTTGAATAAATAAAGACATTATTTCTATTCTATAGGTAATCTGGTATAAAATAATTCAAATAAAAATGTACAAATACGAGTCATTTATAATTATAAAAATGTACTTAAAAAAAATACAAAAATAACTCAATTTTGATTACTATATTATTCCACAATTTTCTAATTGAAAAAATAAATTCAATAATTCATTTGTTTGCAAAATAAGTCTGATGGTGATCATAATAACGTGCAAGATAATCACTATTGTAAAGTTATAGACATGCCAATAATTTTTTATGTTCATGTCACTAAGATACATGTAACTTATGCAAAATGAAAGTTATAATTTTTAAGAATGTACATTAATAAAAAAAATACATTTAAATTGTATTATATAAATTATAAAGAGTAAAATTCATTTTTATGAAACGAATATTATTATATAAGATAAGAAAAAAGTAGTTGATACATTAAATTTGTTTATTGCAACAATTTAGTAGCAGGAATATATTCTTGTCATTCTCTTGAGGAAAAAAAACATATGTTATAATAACGAAAAATTAAAAAAGTTTACCTACTTCGTGCCCCAACGAACGAAGCGAAGCATCTTGCCAGGAGCTCGCTTTCAGCGAAGGACAAACTTCTGGCTTGTCCGGAGAATAATTATATAACATAAAAAATATAGTTTCATAATTGTGGATCAACAAAAAAATAAAAATGTGTGAAGCTACTTCAGTCACAAACTTTTAGATGACTTCAATTTTAGGTCTATATGAAACAAATGATATCAACTAAAAATAAAATAAACTAAACAAACTATGTATTTTGGTCTCAAATTATTCAATCAATTAGGACAAAAACAATGTAAAAGACCTCATATATAACAAAAACTTCACTAAATAATTGGATGATAAATATGTATTGTCTTATTCAGTCTTCACGGTCAAAACCGTATTGTCACTCTTATTCTCTCTTATGGTTGAGACCTTCTCACTCTTTTTGTTATTGTTTCCTATTTTTTATTTATCTTCCACAATATTATTTGCAATATTAGTCTATTTTTTACCCGTAACAACAACAACAACAACAAAGCCTTTTAGTCCCAAACAAGTTGGGGTAGGCTAGAGATGAAACCCAATAGAAACAGTGGTAAAAAAAAAAAAAAAAAAGATTGGAGCAAAAGAGAAAATAGCAAAAGTCACGGTTCCGGCACGTTGATCGCTAGTCTCCAAGCGCTCCTATCCACCGCTAAATCTTTGGAGATATTCCAATCTTTAAGGTCTCTCTGAACCGACTCTTCTCAAGTGAGTTTAGGCCGACCTCTACCTCCTCTCTTAACAATATCGGCCCGCTGTAGAACTCCCCTACGCACCGGTGCATCGGGAGGCCTCCGTTGGACATGTCCGAACCACCTCAGCCGATGTTGAACCAATTTCTCCTCAATTGGAGCCACCCCGACCCTATCACGAATATCCTCATTTCGGATTCTACCCCTTCTTGTGTGCCCGCAAAACCAATGCAACATCCGCAAAACTAACGCAACATCCGCATCTCTTCAAACCGTAAATCATCTAATTTTTATTTTGTATATAAATTGTGACAGTAAATTTACATTTAAAAGTAAAAATATATAAATATAAATGTGTATATATATCAAGTTATTATTTTATTATATACTTTCAAGATTTTTGTTTCTTGATAATTTAAGGTTATATTAAGTTAACAATCAAGATTATCACCGTCAATGCTTATATCAATAGCCGACATTTATTTGCATTAAATTTATGATAATTATAATATAACTTATTATATACATGTTGACAGAATTTTTGTAAAACAATAATTATAAGATTGAAAAGAAAATAGTTGTTGCATTTGTAGTATATTGTGCGAAACTTTATTTGTTGCAATACTTTGATAAAGACCTCGTCACTTTTATGAAAAAATATATATTTACGAATAAAAAATTTAACAATAAATTAATCTTCTTTTTCAGGAATTATAATTATATAATTATAGACCACTAAAGAAATTAAAAGGATGCAAAATTTATGTACATATGTTTAGATAGCCTTTTTAAGATTTTGAAAAAATAAAATAAATTATACCAACTAAAAATAAACAAAATAAAACAAACTTTGTTCGATTACCTCCAATCACACAAAAATCAATACAAATTTTATCTTCAAGTCTTCACAATTAAATACATGAGTTGTACCTCTTTGAAATCATATAATTCTCTTATTTGTACGTTAATATTTCTATATTTTTTTCAAATTTTCAGAATATCATATGTGAAATATCTATGTATTTTTTATCCATAAATACAATCAAATGTCATGTTCGAATTATATGTTGTCTTTTTTTTTTTCTTTACTTTCATTTTTTTCATATTCTTGGTTGATATTTGTAAAAGGAACTTAAATTCATATTATTCTTTTTGTCAAGTAAAGGTTATCCACTATTTTGAGTATTTTCGAGATACATTTCATATGGTATGCAAGTTCATCCCCAGTACCCGTAGATGATACTATTTTATTATTAAAAAATCATCCTTTTTAGTTGAATAAATTACATTGTTATGAAAAATATAATTTTATTTTTTCTCTCTCTCTCAATCTATTTGTATTTTTCTATTACTCAAAGAAATTTATTAAAAAAGAAATAACAATATATAAAATATTATTTTGAAAGTTTGCAATTTGTTATTAACTAGATTAATGAATTCTTGTATCGAAATTTAGATAATTGAGAAATATCATCAATAATAAACATAGTTATTTTTATTATGTGGTAAACCATTGGTATTTTGTTTTAGTTATTAAAGTATATTATTTGTAATCCATATTAGATTATAATAATATCATAATATATTTATTCATAAACTTTATCTATACTGATAAATGTGTTATTTTGAATTAAGTGTACAAAATATTTATTTTTATTGTTTGAAATTATCCACATAGGATTTAAAAATTTATTTCAAAGATATGAATATCGGAGTGCAAGTCCAAATGCATAATTATGTGGGCAACTTTACAAAGCAAAATATCTTTGCTGTAGGCAGCTAGAAAAGATAAGTTGACTGAGTGCTATTCAGATAACTTAACTGGCTGATATGGAGATGAAACATGCATATTTCACACACACACACACACACACTTACCAACCTTGCCAATAATGTCGATAAGGTTCACACTGCTGACTTCGCTGTAGTGTGTTTTTTTAGTTTTCTTGTACGTTTAATCTTAAGCTGATGTTCTGAAAGGCTTAAAACATTTTTATTATTCAGGCACGCACTGCTTTGAGAAGATTCTCGAGTCCTGATGGGGATCATTTGACATTATTACACACATATCGTGCTTCTGACGAATTCTTGGAGAAGAGCAAGCAAGTAAGCAGCAATGAAAAAGCCGAAAAGAAACTCAGAAAATGGTGCAAGGAGAATTTTATCAATAGCCGCTCCCTTAAACATGCTCGTGATATCCACAGGTTTTTCTATGGCTTTCTTGGTATATGCTTTTATAAGGCAAATCACGTTGTTAAACTGAATAGTCCTTTTCTCATTCTCACTGAAAATATTATTGACATAGGTCAATCATTTACTGAAAAATAGTTCCCGTTAAGTTTTGTATTTCTTTTGATATTTTAATTGAAGCATTTTGTAAGGTGGTTTTGTAAATTTAAAATATTTGTTTCCTCGTTTTTGTAATTGGACGTAAACCAAGTGCACTTCTTCTAGTTATCCCTGCATTTTGAAAGTATGTGCAGGGAGTCTTTGTTCTAGTAATCTAGTTTCAGTTCAAATCTATATACATAGACATAAGCTACCTTGATATGTGCATACATGTGTTCTCATATATATGTAATTCTCCATTTCATGAAACAAGAAAGTATTGGACCTCGTCATGCTTTTACTATTGACTTTGTCCTCTGTTTGCATGCAGTCAAATACGGAGAACTGTTGAACAAATGGGTCTCAGTGTCACCTCGTGTGGGGATGATGTGCTTCCACTCAGAAGATGCTTTGCTGCTTCATTTTTTCTAAATGCAGCTTTGAAGCAGCCAGATGGTACTTACAGGTAATTAGAAGGCCACCCCAAAGGTTTGGGTATTTATAAGAGCACCCACAGAATTTTGAAGTTGCGGGAATAACTCTTGTGGTTCGATTTCATCTTACTTTTTGCACTACATAAGTTAAATAATTATCCCTGAACTTGAGGGCAGAAGTGACATCATTTTTTTCAAACTTGTCCGTTTCATTTTTTTTTTGGTAATTATCCCTTAATTTTTTCAGCAGGTCTTGTGGCACCATTTAAGATGCCAATTCTACTCTCGTTCTCTGAACTGCAATAACTGATTATTTGTCCTCAAGTTTTGAATTCATTTGCTGTCAGGGCTTTGTCAAGTGGTCTCACAGTGCAGATCCACCCTTCATCTGTATTATTCCGAGGGAAACCCGAATGCATAATTTTTGACGAATTGGTCCGAACCAATAAGAACTACATACGTAATGTTTCAAGGATAGATTATTTGTGGTTATCTGAGCTGGCTCCCCAATGCTATGCCTTGAGAGAATAGCTTCATATTTATTCCGGTACGTCTACTGAGTTCATGTATATGATCATGTAAACCAAATCCCTATCATTTTCTTTTTCTTTTTTTTTTCCCCTTCAGTTAAAGATTGGAAGCTATTTCATTTCACCAGTCGTTCACATCCATTGAAAGTTTTAGAAGAGTTTCATTATAAAGTACCTTTTTTCATATTTAGTATAAAGAAGAAGCCCCACTGTATTCCGAAAGAACAGCCTCTTGATTTCTGTGTTATACAAATTGCTCCCTTCTCAAGAGAAAGCTTGCTTCATTTACAGTGCCTGTAATACCTCAAGGGGAAGGTCACATTGAAAGATAATTGCATTATTTTTTCATTTGATCGAACTTCAAGGATAAATTTTTGCGAACATCCCTTCTCCAACATACTTTAGTGTTGGCACGAGTGCATTTGAAGTTTGTGTTAGCAATGCATTCATATTTTAATGTTTTTATTTTTATTTATATTTTTTTTTATCTAATTACAATAAATTCTATAAGTCTTCTAATTTTGAACAGATCACCTGTATATGTCAAAGTGACCACGAGTATTCAAGTGTTAGCTTGCTTATTACACCCGTGAGGAGCTCTCAAGCATCCAAGGTTCATTGTTACCCATAACCTTTTGGCCAGTCTTGATTGATGTTGAACTGAATTAGATGATGATTCTTGGGATTTGCTACTAAAGATCTTGGAATTATAGGATAAGAAACACACGTGATGAAGGCGTGTGCAATATTTCATCGTGTCCAACGGCAATTTAATGCTTTTCGCTGTTCCTTTCACTGTGAATGCACTTAAATTGCTCGTTTGTTTAAGAACGAACTCATGCAGATCTACCAAACTCGAGTTCCAAAACGTAGATAAATGTGGGAAAAATCTATTCGTGTTGTTATGAAGCCATCTTGTTTCTATTTTGTTTTATTTTATTCAAATTTGAGATTTACCATGTTCCTTAGATGATTGTTTTGAATGCCACGGTTGTTTTTCAGGTGAGCAAAAACTGTCACTGTGTGGAAGTTTCACTTGTAAATATCATAGTCATCCTAATCTCTACGTTTAGTGAAGGAAGAGGATTTTCCAGACTTCAATTTATTTTAGGCAAAAATCCAATTTTGGTCCGCTAATTTGTCCATTGTCTAATTTTGGTACACTAACTTGTCCCTCATCAAAGAAGGTCCATTATGTTACATTTTTCATCAGTTTTAGTACGCTAATCCCGTGGCCCGGGATTACGAGATGCCAAATCAGTTTTTTATCCTACCACGTCAACATCTTATCTTTCCATGTAGTTTCAATCCCGGTCAACGTCATCTCGTAATCCTGCCAACTGGAGTAGTGTACTAAAATTGATGAAAAATGAAACATAATGGACCATTTCTGATGAGGGACAAGTTAACGGACCAAAAGTGGACAATGGACAAGTTAGCAGACTAAAATTGAATTTTTGCCATTTATTTTATAATTATTATTCGCAATGTCAAGAACAAAGCATGCCCTTGAGGGCTATATTTTAACTTCTAGCGGGCGAATTGCTACGTATTAAAATCGATTTTGATTAATCGGATAGTTTTACCATCTTAACTCAAAATCCGATTCAATTTAATTTAACTCAATTCTCTTAATTATTATCAATATATTAAATAAATCGTATTAATTTTAATATAGTGCTCATCTATTTACATATTTTTTAACAACTTTATATAATTTCTCTCATACTTTATATTACATTAACTTCAATTATTATTTTTTAAATATCACTCAAAATTTAAATGAAGAATTTGGCTCATTTTTCAATTCAATCAACTTTATTTCGATTAACTCATAAATCAACATCTATTTTATAAACTAATAAATCAAATCAACATCTATTTCATTTATATCCAATCTCCCTTAGGAGATTCATCCTACATGAGAACTATATTTAATTATATAATTTATAAAAAAATATAAATAAAAATATAGTATGATATTTATAATAATAGTATGTATTGCTTGTTTAAAAAGTATGACGGACCGACTTGTCAGACCATTAGGTCATCTAACAAAAACATTTGTGTTTGCATATTTTTATACTAATGGTTAGACTATATGATGAAGACGAGACCGCGATCGCGTATTTGAATAAATACGACCGACTCCGGGTTTAGTTTATTTATTTCACATTATTATTAGTACTCTTTTAGTTTTATTTCCTTCGCTGGCTTTGTTAATTATGGTAGGAAAATAAAGGTCTTGCAGTGTTTTGGCAAGATTAGGATTCTTATTTTATTTCCCTTTGGTATTTAAGCTGTATGGAATGAAATACACAGTAGATTATTGATGAACTGAATTTTCTGATTGTTCGTTCTTGAGAGAGTATCTCATATTATCCCCAATTGTACTACGCTCTACATCAGTTGGTATCCAGAGACCAGCAGCGATCCACGATGTCGCCAAGGCGAAACGACAACATTGTTGAAGAACGATTCCAGAGGATGGAAGATCGAATTCAAGGGATGGATGAACGTTTCACCGACATCAACACTGGGATCGAGGAATTACAGCAGGCTATGCGTACCATGATGACGGAGGTTCGTACGAACCGCGACACCGACGACCGGGGTGCACGCGGCGGGTTGCGCGGAGGTAGGGGAGGACGCGGCGGCGGGGCGCCCCGCCGCCGGCAATCACTGCCTCCGTCCGACGATGAAGAGGATGACGAGACGCTGAGCATGGAGAATCCGTTTGCGAGGGAGGACCTCCGCGGCCATCGCGAGCGTCATCATCAGTAGATCTTGAGCGACAGAGAGAGGAGGCGCGAACCTAGGGTTTACCGTAGGGACGATTTTGAAGACGAGAGCAGTGGCGGCGAGTGTGACGACGGATTTGGCCAGTTTCCCGGGGAGGGTACCACGGGCAGAAGACGCGCCGCGCAACGCTGGGACTCGGGCTCAGATTTCGAGGACGACGGCGAGCGAGGATGTGGCTGGGAGCGCCGGGATCGTGCTCGTCCGCGACGGGCAGCACATGGTGGAGGCGAGAGAGGTGAACGTGTTGGTCAGTACCACCGTGACGGCAGACGTCCGATAGAAGGGGGCGATCAGTCACGATGGGAAGCGGGGTTTAGGGTGGATATTCTGGAGTTTACTGGTGGTGTAGACGGGTCAGATTTCGTTGAGTGGTGGGCGTCGGTTGAGGCTGTGCTTCGATTTAAGGGGATCCCGGAGGATAGGCGGGTTGATTTGGTCGCTACTCGTTTTCGGGGTAGGGCAGCAACATGGTGGATGCAACTCACGAGCATGCGACATCGTATGGGCAAGCCAGAATTAACTTTTTGGATGAAGTTTCGTAAATATGTGGAGCATGCGTTCGTGCCTTATAACTACGATAGTCCCGTATATAAACAATTACAGAATTTGCGACAGGGTTCTCGCTCGGTGGATGAGTACACTTTGGAGTTTTATCGTCTCTTGACCCGTGTTGAGTTACGCGAGACGAAAAATTAGTTGGTGTCCCGTTATGTCGGTGGGTTACGTTCTTCACTGCGGGACACGTTGAACCTCTTTCGTCCGGATTCAGTTTCGGATGCTCACCAACGGGCTATCCTTGTTGAGGTTCAACAGGCACAAAAGTCGGGTCCTACGTTCGGTTCGACTTCTCACCCGGGGGGTGCGACGGGCGCCGCGGCGTTTCAGCCACGGCCTTTGGTCGCGGCGGGTGGCGGTACAGCTCCAGGGGCAGTCACGGCGCGCAATACGGGGGTTGGCGGGCCTTACCAGCGGCCAACGGGAGGTGGCGGACAACAACTCACACCGGCGGCGTCACGTGCGGTTGCAAGTCTCTGTTGTTTCGGGTGCGGGGAAATTGGCCATCGGCAGGCGGTATGTCCGAAGGGTACGGCCCCACGGGCATTGTTCACTGAAGAGGTGGGGGACTTTATTACCGGAAAGGGTTATGCGGGACCCGCAGTTTTTGATGTTGAACAAGGAGAGGGTGAGGAATATGTGGCCGAAGATGTGGGTACGACTCTGGTCCTTCGTCGTTCTTGTTTGGTCCCACGAGGGTCGACTGATACACCCACAGAGAGGCACCATCTGTTCGAGTCTACGTGCACAGTAGGGACCAAAGTGTGCCATTTTATTATGAACTCGGGCTCTTCTGAGAATGTCATCGCCCAGGAGGCAGTCGACAAACTGCAGCTGTCTACTAAGCCCCATCCTTATCCTTACACGCTTGCATGGATTCTGAAAGGGACGGCGGTTATCGTTGACCGTCGGGCTCTTGTTTCATTCTCTATTTGTCCTACTTACCGGGACCAGTTGTGGTGCGGTGTGGTTCCCATGGATGCTTGCCATTTGTTGTTGGGTCGCCCGTGGCAGTATGATCGGGCGGCGACCCATGACGGTCGCCTCAACACTTATTCGTTTGTTTTTGGCGGAGTGAAGATTATTTTGTTACCATCGGCGCCTCGCCCTACGCCATCGTCGAGTTCCACGTCCCCGGTTCTTGT